TAAAATTATTAAAATTATTAAAATTATTAAAATTATTAAAATTATTAAAATTATTAAAATTATTAAAATTATTAAAATTATTAAAAGCACAACAACTGCCACAAATGCCGGTACAACAAAATCCAGGAGGGCTCCCAATTCCGCAACCGGACGCAAATAATCGCAATACACCTTCGTCGTCTTCATCAACAGCTCATTTACATCCATCACCCATGCAAACTAATGAACCAAATAATAATGCAGCCAATTCATCAGCATCCTCATCGACAGGGGAGCAACAAAATAACGTTAATAACAATAATGATAATGGAGTAAATAATGTTCCACAACCACCTCAAGAAAATGCGAGACAAATTACTCTTCAAGATGTTGAGCATGCGTTATGGACCTTTGTTGCATCATTGATTCCGACGAACGCACCTGATGTCGGACAGCAAGATGATGTAGCGATGTAGAGTGTTTTGGTGGTGTGACGTTTTATGTGGTATTTTTTTAGTGGCTAACGGGCAAAAATATCTAATCACCTAATAAATAAGTTATATAGTATTAAGCTAATCTATTATTTTTAGAGATTGGAATTGCAATTGATTCGTTTAATTAAAAATCTTCATTATTTTCATGATGTAATACATTCAATATTATTGAATGCAGTATTGTTTATGCTCGTATAATAACGTAGCATAAGTTATTTATTTAATAAGTCTATGTAACTTTGCGAAGGCCTGTAAAGTAAAATCGAATACAATAAAATTTAAAATTGTTAGAAATTTCTATAATACTGTAATACTTGAAGTTGCATCTGCTAGCTAATGCGTGTAAGATGATCTAATTTAGGGCTAATTTCAGTCGAGTGCACCTGAAGGTATAACTTCAGGTATGACACAAACGTAGATCTTTTTCCGTATATATAATAAGATATTTATCGTTATGCTTCGAGTGTTTGATACGTACGTACGTACGTACGTACGATTGTCAGGTTTAATTTGGCAACACTATAATTTAAAATTAATGGTTATGTTATACGTAAAAATTAGTTGAAAGATCTGCGATATGATTACTTTAAACCTCGTATTATTTTATGTAATAAATAAATTTAGTACAGTATATAGTATACGTATACGTAGCGATAGCAGACAGTAAATAAGATCTTTATACGTATGTAGATTTTCAACAGATTAATACATATTTACTTGATATTGATACCTTCGTAACTGTTTTACTTGTATTTTCTTTTGCTTCGTTTTTATTTTTACGTATTATATTGGTTTTGCCAAATTAAAAATCTGAAACCAGAAAATTTACTGTGATTAGTTATTGGCTTAACACTTATACATAATATTATTCTAAATTAGTTTACTACGTACTCGGAATAGAATTGTTGTAAATTTAGAATCTATATACTTATGTAGGTAACCCAAGTTGATACAAATCTAAATTTAATACATATGTTGTAAGTGGGAATGAAACGATAATAGGGTTCGGAATCCACTTAGATTAGAACGGAATAATTATACTAAAAATCCCAATCAACTTAAATTCTATTCCTACCTACGACGTATATACTATATCGATATCTGATATAATAAATCATTAAATTAATATTTAGCACTTAAATTGATTTTAGATTCGATACTGTAATAAATATGTTAATCGATTGAAGTAACGATAGTTAAAGTAATTTACATCTTATCTTTATAATATATAACTGTCACAACAAATTGTTATTACATTATATATTTATTTTATTTCTTTCTATCTGATGGCTGAACCTCATCAGCAAATCAGATAATGGACGACGTATATTGATCTTGAAACACCAACAAACCCTATAATCCGACTATCCCTATAATCCGACTATCAAACCCAACTCAAACCCTGTGTATCTGATACATAAGGACTTAAATTACTCGATAAGATAATTTAATTTTATTGTAAGTTTAATTTGAATTCTTTAACAACTCGAGTGCAGTTTAGAATTTCTATTACAACCTATGTTTATTCCCAACGTACGATATATATACGTACGTATTTAGTTAGCTTTTTTATATACAGTCACACCTTTCTAAATGCGCACTTCCTAAATACAAACTTTTTTTTTTAAATATATCCAAGTTTGCGATTTATTCTGTATATATGTTATGCTCCAAATGGCAATCTAGTCCAGATTAAATCAGGACAGCCCAAATATCAATTTATTATTTTTTAGCTAGATTGATATCTAGAACAAATTATTATTTGGAATACTATATATATACATAACGATAAGATTTTAAAATTTTAAATATATATATACTAATTTGGACTTAGTAGCGTTTCAAAATCCAAGTTGGCATAGTCGAGTTTTAACATTCACTATGCAAAATAATCTAATATGGTTCTAAAACTGATTGACTTTGCTTAGAAGACAAAATAAACTACCGTCTATTGGGCTAAAAGCGTTTCACTTAAATAGGTACGTACAAGCTTTTAGTGGCAAAAGATTCAAGTTTAATATTTAGCTTTGGTCGTGTGTTGGGTTCTAAATTTAAATTTATAATTATGATAAATTCGAGTGATTAATAGTAAATATCATATTTATCCACTTTGCGCGCATCTATCTATTCTCTAAAGATACATGATAAAATATTTTTATGTATTTGTTAGTTTTTTTTTATTTTATTTATACTGTAATAAAGTTTTTTTTTTTTTCGTCTTCTAATTATCACAAGTAATCACTTATCACAAGTAATCACGGTAGATTTAGACAGACCATCCCAAATATGGGAACGTCTAAAGCGGAGTATATATTTTAACTTTAGGGTTAGGACCATCTTATGTTAAGGTTGATATGCAAAATTGTCTTCTCGATATTCTCGATATCGATATTGTAATTTTCGACGACCTCCGGATTTAGATAGATTTAGATCGGCGCCCGCCTTGTTTATACCAACCCTGATTGGCTATCATGAATGATATTCACCTGATCTGATCTTGTCAAATATCTTCCCCAGTATCGCCACGGACACGTGATCGCGCCAAAAAATCTTTAAGTTCGTTTAAGGTTGGGTTAGAGTCTATGTAAAGTTTACAATTTTTTAGTGTCCTGATAGTAAAATCGTTCAAGAAAATTTTTTTGTTAATGCACGAAAGGTGGTTTCCTATGCAGATTTTTGAGTTATAAGCGATTTTTGACAAAACGAACGTTTGTTTTGAATTTTCCTGATCGTGTTACGTTACACCTGATCTTGAAATCTGATTGGTTTGTGCCACAAAAATGGGGTAGTTTTGTCAAATGATCAAAACAAAATAACAACTCGATAATCATATACAGTACATCTTTTTTTTTTTCAACTTTTACGTGTTAGAATTTTCTTTTTTAACTTTAGCGTGTTAGAATTTTTTTTCGTAAATAAACAAAAAACTTTTAAATAGAAAAGTAAGTATTTTATATTTTTTTGATAGTAGTTGAAATAATACTAGTATTTGTACCTGCTAGACACGTCTAGCAGGGTTTGGAGTTGTACTTACTTCTACAAATACTAAAAGAAAATTTGATATGTAAATTGCGCTGAAAAGGTAACTGATAATGCGGTGGGCGGAGAAGGGTTCAGTTACAGATATTTTTCGGCCAAAGGTTCTACTGAATTCTAAAGAAGGAATTTGGTTACGTACCTTTGTTTATATAACAAAACTTCTTTGTTAATGTATTTTTGCATCTACTATCTTATGTTGTTTATTTTTTATACTTATTGTGAAATATAGATCATTTCTCATTCGATTTTACTTTTATATAGGCGGATGTTGATTATATAAATGAATACTATAAACGTTTATCGGTATTTTATACTTTTTAATAAATACGAAAAATAAAATTAATTGGTTAAAATACGTTGATTAGCAAATAATTCTTATCTAAATAAAATAAAGTTAATAAGTAAATCTTTATGAATCGTTATATATGTACCTAAAGTTTAATATATAGAAAGTTTTAGAATACCCAAATTATTTCACCGATTACCGAATTACTTTGTAGAGCAGGAAATATAGTTTATTCATTTTCGTGATAGAAATCGATACTTTAATAAGACTTTAGTACAGTTTCGGATATGATAAATATGCTAAAAAAACTGCCGCTTGGCTTTTTTTTTTGCCTAATTTTAGGATTTTTAATTCAATTTAAATTATCGCTTCTTATTTATATGTAGTATACAGTAATTTTTATTATACATTAGCTGAATATTTTTATATTTGAAAAATCAATTCTTCGAAGATATAACGCTCCAAACATAGAAGAACAACTAATCAGAAAATTGTCAATTTAATTTGGCGAATTGAATTCAGGTATGACTCAGAGTTGCAATGGAGTTCAATGGAGTCCAATGGAGCTGTGAATGGAGCCAATGGATACTAGTTTTTGAGCACCATTTGCGTAACGTATGAATAAATAAATTAAAGATGGCGAGTGTCTTAATTGTATCGATTATAAAATATCATTATACTCATTGAACTTAAATCCCTAAATGCTAATCAACAACATTTAATACATACTATACAATAAGTGCTGCAAAAAGATGAAGAAGCGATATTTATATAAATAATGAATATTTACAATTAAACAATACTTTTATTCTTTATTGTTATATTTATTTCATTCATAAGTAATTTCACTTGTCTCTTTTCTTGCAATAAAAAAAGCGAGTGGGTTTCTTACAATCACGTGTACTAGATGCTGCAGAAAGGGGGAATCGACAAATTTTTCCAAAAGCTTTTATTTTGCGTAAATCATTTTTTACTTAAGGCACAAACTTAATTGCATTACCGTAATAAAATCTTGCAGTATAGCTCTCTGAAATCTGCATTTTCTTATGATAAAAATTTTCCGAAGATCTTTTTTTTGTCGATTCCCCTTTCTACAGCACTGATCGGTAAGCGTGTTAATCGTCCGAACTATTTTTCCGATATCTAAATTTGGGGCCGTGTGCCGCCACGTGACACAGAGTCAATTGTTTTGATCGACACGGATCAGCCCAACGAAAAAAAACCATCAAAAATACAAGAAACGGATGTCTAAACCTACCTTGGGGCATTAATAAAAAATGTCGAAGTGGCAAATTTTACTATAAGACCTATCCTCGCCCTAACCCTATGCTAACCCTTACCCTAACTCTAATTAAAAGGTCAAAAACATATGACCGCATACGGCTTTAAATGTACCCTAAATTTGGTCGGATGCATGTAGATTTATAATTTGGTAAATGTCGATTTCCCCCCTTTTATTTAAATTACTAAAAAAATTAATTATTTCCAGTTAATCGTGATAAAATATATAGAATTGAAAATAATACAACAATATGAAAAGTTAAAACAGCAGTTTAAGCTTGCAATTTACCTTGTTTAATCAATAACATTTGTAGATAAAATCTTTACATCAGTTACTGGCCTATAATGAAGATTTAACAAAAATTTATAATTATTT